ATGTGTAAGAATGTTTGTGAACCACAAATCCTTTGCTAAAAAAAGAAAGAGGAGATAAATTTGGGACGGACCAAAAAAGAAAGAATGAAGATAATTATGGGACGGAGGGAGTAGGAAAGTTGGTAGACAAAAATTTGTACACTCGTTAAGAAAGAGGCAGTGTTTGTCTCACAATTGAATGTGTACCCAGTATATAAAAAGTGTACACATTTTGGGGGTGTTTGGTAAAAGGCATTTCAGCCGAAAAGTGATGGTTTGATCACTTTTAGCGTTTTTAAGAAGTGAAAAAGTTGATTGGTAAATAGCTATTCGGCATCAGCGTTTCAGACGAAAACGCTGAAATGAAAACGCGGCTAATAGGAGAGTTTTGGATTGATATTTTAAAAAATGGCGTTTCTCTACTAATTTTATGGGCAAACAGCTAAATTACCAAACATTTTTTGACAACCCGTCAATTTATTACGCTAGTCAAACCCGCTGACAGAATCCGCTATTGACAACCCGCTAACACGCCCTTTGTGTACACCAAGCACAACCCTTACTGATAGGGAGTCATTCTTTTCCGCTTCCACTTCTCACACATAGAGCACTGTTGTGTATTTTAATGAAATAAATTATTTCTATCATGAGTGGGTGTTGCTCAACCGGTAGGCTATGTTGCACGGATACAGATACACTGATACGTCGATACGCGAATACGGGTACAGGGATACGACAACTTCAAAAATTATAGGATACGGATACAGGGGTATATTTATAAATATTAATATAGAGTATAATTTCCAAATATATATAACTCAGAGGTTCGTAAGTAGAGCCGACTTTTAGCACGTTCAACATGTTCTACAGAATAGAGCCGATATATAACATATTTGCAACTTTAATACTAATCAGTAAAATAAAGTTTTTGTCCTTCTTTATACCCCAGTTTTACTCAAATTGATTGAGTGATGAGTTTGTTGCTTTAAATCAAGTATTAAGTGATTTTTGTATTTTTTTTATTACATTATTTGATGAGTTTTCGATTGATTTCAGTATAAGTAGTTAGATTCAGATTGTTTTAATTTTTTATATTTATATGGGGCCTCAATTTTACGTTGGAACGGGGCCTCCAAATTCATTAGGCGGTTTTGTTCATAAGTAAAATAATAACAATACCAAAAATTAAGAATTATAATAATATTTCAAAGATTTGAATAGAAAAGCTAAAGCACTAATATTTCGATTTAAATTCAAATAATATTTTTGGTTCTCTACTTGCATTTATTTTACATCTAAGTCTTTTAACAAGACTGATTTCAATTAATGCACATCAAGAGACAAATTAGCAAATTATAGCATTCCAACGTTTTCTATACTCCCGGAATCATCTTTACTAATGTTCCAGATCTTGTCATGTATGAAATCAGGGTTAGATACGCGTATCAGCTCACAAATACATGTGTCGGAAGTATCCATATTTTTAAAAATAAGTCCAATACTTTTATTAAATTGCGGGTACAGACCCAATACCAGGGGCGGATCCAGGAATTTGAGATGCCCTGGACTGAATAGAAATTATATTAGGTTTAAATACTAGAGGGGTGGGCTAAACGTGAAAAATGATAAAATTTACACTAAAAAATTGAAAATTTTCTAAGTTGTCATGAGCTTCAGCCTGCCATAGCTCGTGCATAGATTCTCCCCTGAGAATGATTCACAGTGGTGTACATATATTGTGTTTAATATATGAGGTTAATAAAAATAGATCATATTCTCATTTAATCCAAATTATATATGCATATATTTATATGAAAAAGATCACATTATAAGTTTGTCTTCGAATGAAAACTGCAAAGTTTTAACTAATAGATCAGAACAAAAAACAACATATAAAAAACACATTACAACTTATAGATAGGGGCGGATCCATGAAATTCATTAATTGGGGACACTTTTTGCATCCATGTATAGATAATAAAATGTAGGAAAAATTGTCAAAATATAAGTAAAAATGTTTGAAATTCAAAAATAAGACTGCTATATTTTTGTTCTTGGAATAGGAGTAAAATCACATTATTTACTGTCATCTTGTAATTTATGACATAAATTTGTTTTCATGTGTAGTTTATGGGGACACAAAACCACAATTAAGGGATTGAAATACACATGGTCAAAGTCGGAGATTTCAGTGGATGTCATTACCCGGATCTATCCGCGTGTAGATATACCAGAATTTCCCGAGACATAATTAAGTGGGTACGTGAGATATACTCCATATATAATATACTCTCCTCCGTTCGAATATAATTGCAAAATAGATCTAGCACACTACATATACAAGAAGTACTACTCCAAGACTTTATTAAGGAATTAGGGTTGGATTAAAAATGTTTTTCATAAAATATTGCTCGAATTTATAACTTGGTTAAGGGAAACTACAAAGTAGCCAACTGATTTTGCGACTGCTCCTTTGAATTGGGGAACAGTCCTTTTATTATTTTCCCTTCAAATTATTTTCCCTATATATTGAGTAATGTTTGTTAGTCCTAAACTTAAAAATAATATTACTTCCATCCCTTCTTATTTGGTCATGTTTGACTTATCTAGTCAAAGATGGTTAACTAGATCCATTATTTTAAGTACTAGTATATTTATGAGAAATTTAATATATTTATAATTTTATGATAGTATTTTCAACAAAGAAAATTTGAATATCATTTCCATATTATTAATAATATCGTATATAAAAATATAAGAGTTAATGACCCATATAGGACTAAAACTAATTGAATGTGCACAAATAGGACCAGGGAAAAAAGCAATATTACGTGGGACTTAAAAAGGAGTGTTTTTCCAAGTTTAACCTTCATCTCTAATTAATTGAGATTTATTCGGATGGAAGCTATCGGAAAAGTCGGAAGGCATCGTGTGATACCAGTGGCGAAAATATATGGAACGGTTGTAGTGCAATAATTACGGAAAAACTTTCCGGCGCAAGGCTCGGGAATCAATATACTATCACAACTACCAATTTACTCTAGCCTGTTACCCTAGAACCGAAACTCAATTTTCGAAATTCAAGTTGTTTGAGAGAGAACCGAAACCTAGAACCTGGACAACGAAGGAAGGAAAGAAGCCGTGACGATGGATGAAGATTTTGATAAACAGAGCACCAGAAGGTTGAGAGGGAGACAGAAATCCAACCTGGTAAGTTTTTTCGCCAATAGTAATAGTGTGCATCATTTTTTTTTTGACAAAAAGACGAATGAAGAAGAAGTGTAATGAATCAGAAATCATATAATGTGAAAAGTGGAATGGTTATGTGTGATATTAGTACAAAGTAAAATGAGTTCATACTTGCATGACATGAAAATGGCAGAAATTATAAAGTTTTGTGATGTATGAGTAGTGTAAGTATGGCCTGGAAGCATGGGTAGTACTGCTTGAAAATGTATTCAATTTCCAATTTAAATAGATTTGTGGAAGCAGATTTTTACCAACCATTTGGTATTAGTAGTTATGGCAGAATTCTTAGTCATTGTGAATACATTTAGTAGAAGCATATGTATGCCTAATATTTGACATTCATGGTCAGTGGCGGACCTAGAAAGTCGGAGCCACGGGGTCCCTACTCTTATGTCTTTCTAACAAATAAAAAATATTAAAGAAACATTTATGCATATTAAACCAACTTGAAACAAATCTACGTCTTTTACTGCCAGTCACCTTAAAAGGGTAATCATGATCTTGAGGTTGAAATGGTTCTACTACTGCATTTTTTAACATGTTGTTCAAAGATTCAAAATCAACATGTTGTTCAGGTAAATTATAATCAAAGTTAGCTTCACTTTCAGCAATTATTTGATCCAATTACTAATGGCGAATCATTTGAATTAATACATGAACGGCTCTCGGGATTTCGATTTCTTTAAATTTAGGTACAACACTAAAATATCTTTTCATCCTAAATCATACAATACTGAAAATAACATTTATTATTACATTAATTTAATCTTAACAATCAAAGAAAGTTTAATAAGCGTATTAATTTAATCTTAACAATAAAAAAAAGTTTAATAATTAATCCCAAAACAAAGATACCAGAAGAAAAACAATAAAACCTTGGGCTTCGCTGACTGCTGTGGTTAGGTGTTAAAAGGGATTGACTGGGATAAAACAAAACGGGCCAAAAGGACGTCGTTTTTGGTCTATTTAATTAAAATTGTTTAAAATGACCAATTGAGGGAGTTGGTAGGAGTCGAACATTGTACCAACGCGAAAAAGATGGCCTCAGCCGCGCCATTGCTCCCATCCCGCTCTTCCTGTCTTTCGATTCTTCTTTCGTGTCTTTTAAATATATGCATTTCACAATTAATTTTATATTAAATATATATAATATATAGGTAATATTTTCGAAGTCCACGGGGTCCCGGGACCCCGTGGGACCCTTAGTGGGTCCGCCTCTGTTCATGGTGTTATAATGGCAGAATTGTTAGTAAATTTGTAGTGGTTAGCCAAATTTTGTAAGTTATACTACACTATGAAGATTGTTTTATTCCAAATGTTTGACATTCCAATTATGTATAATGGCAGATATGTTTGGTCATTTACATGTGCATACATATTGTAGAAAAAAAATTATGCCAAGTATTTGACATGCATATTATGTTAATGTTAATGGGAGACTTCTTTGTCATTATGAATACATTTTGTAGTAGATTTGAAGTAGTTACTGAATTAGCTTGAAATGTAAGTAGAGGATTTGTTATGCCAAATGTTTGTCATTCCAATTTTTTTTTAATGGTAGAGATGTTGGCCATTTACATGTATGTAGTGTAAGAGTTTTGCCAACTATTTGACATGTGTGTAGTACTGTAGTGGAAGAATTGGCTTTTAATCTTATTACATTTTGACGAACAATTTGTATGCCAAATATGGACATTAATGATAACTAGTGTAAGTAGAGGATTTGTTATGCCAAATATTTGTCATTCCTATTTTTGTAATGGTAGAGATGTTGGGCATTGACATGTACGTAGATTAAGATTTATGCCAACTATTTGACATGTGTAGTAATGTAATGGAAGAATTGTTATTTAATCTTATTACATTTTGACGAACAATTTGTATGGCAAAAATGTGACATTAATGATATGATGGTGGCAGAATTGTTATCCACCTTCAAATAGTGGCTCCGCTAGGTTGAACTGTGAGTAATGTATGTAGAAGTGTTTTAATGCAATTTTGTTTAATATTCCTGGCATCGTAACGGGATATGTGTTGGTCATGTACACATAGTTTGATTATTGTCCTGAAATGTGAATGAATTGTGTGGAAGAATGATTTTGCCAAAAATATGACATTCGAAGTTTTAAATTGGTAGAATTGTCAAATAGATGGAATATGAAGCTAAGGTGTGACAAAATTTTATAGAACGATATTTATGCCAAATATTTGACGTTCTTATTTTGTGTCATAATGAGCACGGTGTTGAAATTAACGTAAATGTAATGTGTGGAATCTCTTATTTTTTGGATACCTCAGGTCATACAGAGATCTTTTGCCAAGTCTCAACTGGAAAATCTTGAAAGCATGAGGATAAATTGCTATTGCAATTTAAGCGAGGTGTTGAAAAGGATAAAGCTGAAACTTAAGGAGGATGAGTTGATTGAATTTAGGAGAACTATCTTTGGATGGGTGTTGGATGTAGAAGAGATGAAAACAATAAGTGGACAGCTACAACTGGGATTTATGTGCAACTATGTTAAAAAGGTGAATCACATAAAAGAGGTAAATGTCATAAAGTTGCACATTCAGAACAGCATGGTTAGTTTCACAAAACAGGATTTGTGCATGGTCTTGGGTCTAAAATTTGGAGGTGAGAAGTCAGTGATAGAGGAAAATGTCAGGGGGTCGTTGTAGAGGAAGTATTTTGGAAACACAACCGGGGTGAGAAGAAGTGATTGCCAAAATGCCTTATTGAATTACAACAGTGATGACCCAGGAGCAGAAAGAAATGATGGGGTTAAACTTGTGCTACTCCATGTGCTGTCACACGGGCTTTTTGGCAATCAAGTGGCAAGGGAATTACCAGCACTTTATGTGAATTTAGTAGATAATCTGGAACAATATAATGAGTATCCATGGGGAGATGATGTTTGGGGTGATCTAGTGGAGAACATGAGGACGAATGCGAAGAGCTTAAAGAAATGCAAAGGAGATCGCGTTACACTGCCAGGATGTTTGTTTGCCATTCAAGGGTGGGTATTATGAGAGCTTCACAGGGCTAGCCAAAAAAGGAATATGCAGTGTCATTCCAGGGCGAGAGACGCGAATACCGAGGGCAGTGAAGTGGTCATATGTTAAGAGACCATCTTTGGAACTCTTGAGCAAAATAATTTTCAACAATGAACAAGTAGTACACCTTACTCAGTTTTAAATTATAACTTATAAGCTGTTATTTTTGTGTTACTGTGTTTTAGCTTATAACCTGTTTTAACTTATAATTTGTTGTTTTTTGTGATGCAGTTTGAGTGGGAAAAGATGAAGGCTACAAATATGGAAATTGAAGAGTTTCCAAATTTACTATCCTTGGAAGTGATGGTGGAGATAGGATAGAGGGGGTTAAGGTGTTTGAGAAAAAAAGGAAAGAATGTCAAGGGAAATAATTCAATGACACCTAAGAAAAAATCAACAAAGAAAGCCACTGTAGAACATATGGAATCTGAGAAGGAGGAGGAAGAGGAGGAGCAGAATGGTGGGAGGGTTGGTTTCGGTAGTGGTAGAAAGGCAGACGTGACGTTGAGGAATATTCGCAAACTGAGCAAGGAGAATGCCAAGATGTTGGCAGAATTGAGGGAAGTCAGAAAAACACATAAGAGGCATGAGTCGTTGCTGAAACGGATACTGACAAGTATGAACAACATGTAACACCCCGGCCCCGCAGTACCCGAGGTAGTTACTCCGGACCAATAGTACTGTCCCCACAAACCACCACGAGCCTTTACCGCGCACTTTGTCCTCACTCATGCGCGCCCTGAGAAACTTCCCAGGGGGTCACCCATCCCAAGACTACTCTCGTGCAAGCACGCTTAACTTTGGAGTTCTTGGATGATGAGCTCCCTTAAAAGGAGATGCATCTCTGTTGGTATGAGTAGTACTATTAATCCGTTTATATTAAATCTCAAGTGTTACAATCACCCCCACTTAGGATCGCAACGTCCTCGTTGCGCCCTTGAACCAATCTCAAATCTCAATCAAATCCCAGAATCTTCCCCCGCTAAGTGCCCGCCCGATATCCAACGGGTCATCACACTGTCGCAGGGTTGCTCTGATACCACCTGTAACACCTCGGCCCCACCGGACCCGAGGTAGTTACTCCGAACCAATAGTACTGTCCCCACAAACCACCACGAGCCTTTACCGCGCACTTTGTCCTCACTCATGCGCGCCCTGAGAAGCTTCCCAGGGGGTCACCCATCCCAAGACTACTCCCGTGCAAGCACGCTTAACTTTGGAGTTCTTGGGTGATGAGCTCCCTTAAAAGGAGATGCACCTCTGTTGGTATGAGTAGTACTATTAATCCGTTTATATTAAATCTCAAGTGTTACAATCTGTAACACCTCGGCCCCACCGGACCCGAGGTAGTTACTCCGAACCAATAGTACTGTCCCCACAAACCACCACGAGCCTTTACCGCGCACTTTGTCCTCACTCATGCGCGCCCTGAGAAACTTCCCAGGGGGTCACCCATCCAAGACTACTCCCGAGCAAGCACGCTTAACTTTGGAGTTCTTAGGTAATGAGCTCCCTTAAAAGGAGATGCACCTCTGTTGGTATGAGTAGTACTATTAATCCGTTTATATTAAATCTCAAGTGTTACAATCACCCCCACTTAGGATCGCAACGTCCTCGTTGCGCCCCTGAACCAATGTCAAATCTCAATCAAATCCCAGAAATCTTCCCCCGCTAAGTGCCCGCCCGATATCCAACGGGTCATCACACTGTCACGGGGTTGCTCTGATACCACCTGTAACACCCCGGCCCCGCAGTACCCGAGGTAGTTACTCCGGACCAATAGTACTGTCCCCACAAACCACCACGAGCCTTTACCGCGCACTTTGTCCTCACTCATGCGCGCCCTGAGAAACTTCCCAGGGGGTCACCCATCCCAAGACTACTCTCGTGCAAGCACGCTTAACTTTGGAGTTCTTGGATGATGAGCTCCCTTAAAAGGAGATGCATCTCTGTTGGTATGAGTAGTACTATTAATCCGTTTATATTAAATCTCAAGTGTTACACAACAAGAATAAGAATGAGGTCAAATTGAACGAGGGTGATACAGATAAAAACAAAGAAGGGGCAGGCAGAGAAGTAGACGCAGAGGTGAATGAGACAGATGATAATGCAAGTGCAGATGATGATGATGTAGTGATAAGTAATATGCCCACATATAATATCTTTGGGCCAGAAACACAAAAGCAATTACTGGAAGAAGTAATACAGGATGAAAGGGAAGAAATTGCATTACAGTGTAATAAAGATGCCGAAACTGTGGTTGGAGTGGAGCAAGGGCATATGGATATTGATGGAGAAGTAAGGAATGAACAGAAACATGATGGTGGCTCTGGTGTGAGAGGAGAAATAAATGAGAGTGAAAAGGAGGATGAAGAAATGGCAGAAAAGGGATTAGGCGAGGAAAAGGAAGATGGGGGGAAACAGAGTAAATGCGAACAGGAAGGGAAGGATGGTTTGGAAGAAATTGATGAAAGAAGGGGAGAGAATGTGGAAGTGTGTTGGGAAGATTTCAATACTCAATTTGTGACCGAAATGATCACTAGTGCAGATAAAGTTGAAAAACTTGTACTAGGGGAACAAAGTGAAGTAGATCATAGTCCAGGCGGGGAGGTAAATAAAAAACTATATTTGAGTGTTTACTTGAATATATTAAAGTACAAAATGAAAAAGTAATTAATCATTTACTAATTTAAGAATTAATATTTTTCTTTTACAGAGTGCTACAAAGGTGCAATTACAGGAGCCCCGTCAAGGTAATGGTGATAATGGGAACAAAGAGAAGACAAAGGTGCAAGCGAGGACACAAAGGGAAAAACGGTAAGCACCATATTTGAATTTGTGCGAATGTGAAGTCATAATAGTGGAAATTTAATTGAAATGTATTGTTATTTATACATTTGTTACGGTACAGATTGAGACCACATGTGCACCAATTGTAAGAACAAAGCGCCTTGCAAGATCACCGGACCGATATACACCAGCAGAGGCGACTGCAGCGGCAAAGAAGAGAAGGAAGGAAAGGGCAAAAAGAACTGAAGTGGACAATTTTTTACCTGCAATAAAAATATGGCCCCTTTCCAGAAGACCCAACCAAATGCCCACCTGAAGAACAAATAAAGAAGGTGGCAGATTTTCTTCGAGTTTGTTTGTTGAAGAAGCCAACAAAGCTAAGCGGTAACAGAAAGTACCTTATGGGAGAGGACAACACGGGCCGTGTACCGTTTATTCTTGATGTGGCCAAAATAGAGTCCAAAACATGGCTATACAAGTTGTTTACCAGTCCGGAATGGTTGGATGATACGGTGATGTTTCTGTCCTAAACTTTTAGTAGTTTAAAAGTTAATTTAATTGTTGCATTAAAAATGGAAAAAATATGCATACTGGAATATTGCTTGATAATTGGCGTGATGTATTTTTTGGCAGCATGTATATGTTGGAATGTACTATTTGAATGTTAAACAAGTGCAATACCCGGTGAAGCACGCCTACAGCGTAAGTGGGCCATATTTAATTTTATGCAAATGTTGAGGTGTGAGAATGAGACGATACAAAAAGGTGAGTTGACGGTGCAACAAGCAGCAAACATTGCAGTAATCGAAGATGACATTCAAGGCAGTGCTTCACCATTCTCTCGGATTTGGGCAGAATCTGAGTTCGTGTACCTACCTGTTAACACTAAAAGCCACTGGGTTTTGCTTGTGTTGGAAGTCAAAAACAAGAAAATAAGGGTTCACAATCCTAAAAGTAGAAGGGCTGAAAGTTTACGCACATGCAGTGGTTGCTTCCTAAAATCATGGACGTGCAGTGGTTGCTTCCTAAAATCATGGACGTGCACGGTGTGTATGAGGAAATAGGGGATGAGCATATGGGTGAAAAGTTGTTGGAGTTAGAAGCCGTTGATTGCCCACAACAGGATGACGGGTAATATTTTACTCGAGATATCTATCAATTAAAAATTTCAATAATGTGAAGAATAATATGTAACAACAAATGAATTTGATCTTAATGCTGTGTCATGTTTGTAGGGGCAACTGTGGCATGTTCTTGTTGAAGTTTGCTGAGTTCTTAATGATGGGAAAAGATGTTCAAGAGGTTCGGTCAAAGAACATGCCCATGTATAGGAGTACAATGGCTACAGAGTTAGTGTTGTATAACAAAAAGAGAATGGAGGAACAACACAAGAAGGGACTGATAGAGAGGATGGCGAAGTGAAAGATGGCAGAATGATAGTTGAAAAGCAGCAAAGTGGTTTTCATGACTTGTATGAAATGTTATTTTTTGAAGACATTTTTTATGTTGTGATGCTACCGTTTTTTATTTTATTTTGTTCTTAAAAGAGCATACACGTATTTTGTTTTATGACAGAAATGACCTAGTGTTTGCAATTAAAGTTTACGCATGTTTGGATATTAAATGAAAAATGACTTGGTGATGTGTGCCAATCAAAGTGGAAAAGCGCACGTGTCTTTTTTTTTATGGAAGAACACAGATGTAATAATATATTTTGGCAGTAATGGTTTTGATTTTGGCATTACTACCACAATATTGGCAATAACGGGTTAGAGTTTTTAAGTTCACTTAGATAATGAATTTTGTTAAGATATGGGGTTTAATAAATACCTTAATTTTTTTTAAGAAAAATACAATGTTTTTTTGCATGTTCATATTACGGCATAAGATGGCAAAAAGTCGAAGTAAACTCTTGAAATTTACACTATTTAGTTGAAATGAAAATTGTCAGAATTCATCTTATGATACGAAACGAAAGAGTTGACTAATAGTGAGTGGGAGCAATCAAATAAAAACATCAATAAATCTTAAGAATTAAAGTGGGGGTACTAGCGGAAAAATATGCATGAGAGTACATAATGAGAGTCCACAATGATAAAGAAGGCAGTAAATGAAAATTATGTTGGAATAAAAAGTTAAAAAAATACATCAATCATGTGTAGAAGGTAGGGGATTACGACAAGTTTTTTTGTTGTGACCAAGAGCATGACAACGGGAACATTTTCTACGCTTGGTTCCACGTTGTTCACCAATTGATGGAATTCTTGACTTCTTTGGACGACCGGGTGGTCTTTTTGAACACGAAGGAGGCTCGCAACGAACTTGTAAAATATGGGAAGGAACCGACCAAGACTGTACATCACAGATAGGATGCATAACAGCACTCCAAGTGGACAGCCAAGTATCGCGAGTGTAATATGGAGATATAAAAGAATAACATGACATGGCAGGGCGGGTACCAATAGCAGCAACGTCATGCACACAAACGAAGTGAGTCAATTGAAAGACGCCGCAACTACATGTCTTAGCATTGAGGTCAACCAAAAATGAGCGACAGTGCCTATCCACAACTTCAAACTCCGTATAAGACTCTGGCTTTACCTGCATTTTTTATAAAAATTAAAAGCATAGAGGACAAAGATGGAAAGCTACTTAAAAGATTGTCACTGTAATATGAAAACATGGCAGAATGCAAGAATGACCAGGCAAATATGCCACATATTTGGAATTATACGTATGATAGTAGTGAACCAAGTTGATACAAACTAACTGAGTGCAGTTGTTTTTTACACAACAAGACTATTAAAAAACAAACAAAATCACTTACCTGCATCCTGCAAGCCTGACCTTGAAGCACCACCAAATGCTTCTCATGTTTAGTAGCCAAAATAGTGCATGTTTTCTCAACAAGTTCTTTCCTTTTAGTGAACCACAACCGCATTCTTTCCCTCAGAAAGTCAACTAGTTTTGATATAGAATACTCCCTCGCAGAAACATTAACATTGTTAAGAGATTCAGCACCATTTGAAGTCATCATATCTTCTAGGACCGGACATGCATTTAGCCCACTTTTCAACGCCAATCTTTTCAAGCCAAGGTCGTATACGGACATCTTCAGAATCCAACAAGCACATATATTCCTCATATTCCTTGATTGTCGAAGCATCATATGCAGCTCTGAATTTCCAGCTTACATTCTTACCGCCCTTAAACTTAGGAATCATGTTACGCCGAAGGTGCGCCACACAATATCCATGAAGAGCGTGAGGGAAAATCTGCTTGGCAGCACTGAGAATGCCTTCATGTCGGTTAGATATGATAAACATATCTGGTCTAAAGGTTATGGATTCTCTCACTTTGGTAAAAAAAAACCAATTCCATGAGGCTTTGGATTCAGAATAACAAATTCCATAAGCTATCGGGACAATATGACCGTCAGCATCTTAGGCACAAGCTGTAAGTAGTGTCCCCTTGTAGTACGCCTTCATGAATGATCCATCTACAATTAAAACAGGTATGCAAAAATCCCATGCCTTCCGCCAAAGTGAAAGAGACGTAAAAAAGTTCTGGAACTCATCTGCATCACCTATGGTTAGAGAAATAACAGAATCTGGATTTGCCTTGTCAAGCATATATGCCATGGAAGGTAGTTTTTGATAAGACTCTGAATCTGATCCAAATTGCTTTTGCATTGCTAACTTTTGAGCTTTCCAGGATTTCTTATATGACATGGAAATGCCATAGGACACACTCATTTCTTCCCTTATTTAATGTGGTGCATGTGGTTTTTTTGAGGCATCCAAATATTTATGAGAAATCAGCTCTGCAACAGTGTGATATGTCGCTTGTCTATGGTTTCCTTGCCTAAAATCAAGGGAGCAGGTGTGCGTTGAGTCAAACCCGTATGTAAGGAAATAAGTCAAGTACAACAGAAATGCCAAAAATATGGAAAAATAAAACAGAGCAGACAGGGAAAAAAGATAAGGGGACAAACCTTCTGATCTGAAACATTTGAACACCATCTAACTTGATAGCCGTGATAGCCCATTTACAATTTTCTTCATCAAGACAAACAACTTGCAAAACAGTTTTCTTCGAAGTACGCTTTGTGTATTGAAAACCATGAAGACTAAGGACAGACTTACACTTGTATATGCCATGAAAAATTATTTGAGTGGGATGGTAGTGCGTAATAACTTCCAAATTATGATGGATGGAAGATGAGTGAGTGGAAAGTATATGATGAGGAGGCGACTGACAAGGGCTCACATCATTCAATGGACTATGACATAGGGCATCGATAGTTGTAACAGGACTGTTTGATATTTGTGTGAGGTCAGATTCATGATTAACAATGGTGTAATTGTCGGATTCAGATTTCTCACCACTAACACTACCATCTTCTTCGGAAAAATCTTCATTTGGTGAAGCAGAAATCTGAAGTATACCATTTGCTACTCCAGTGACTGTGCAAGGATTATAAACATCAACTGAGAATTCCACACACAAGGGGTACTTGCTGAAATTAGTCTGCACAACCTTAAGGTTGAGGAAAAAACGAAAACTGGCTTCATCATTGATATAAACAGGTGGAGGGCAGCCATGAACCATATAAGATAACTTGAACTTTTTTATTGGCTTATAATCAAATAATATGGGAGAAGGTTGTTCTATAAAGTCTTTGTATGTAGCCGAATAACGAACTTGAATAGCAAAGGTGGCGTTACTGATGAAGTTGTAATCGTTAGTCCAACTCCCATCCAACCGCATAACAATCAGAACAATAGAATCCATATGGATAGCTAGGGGAAGAGAAATAAATTGGTCAAAGAAAATGACTAACAATATGCCAAACATGAATAAAACTTATGCCAAGAATATGTCATTATAAAGTTATTATGCCAATCAGAGCAATGTGAACACAAGTCATTAACATGATGTTAACCAATAAAACAGTCCGTGAATTCACCATGAACGAGAAGATCATACATACCATATTTCCATGAAAAATGTATATAACAACGAAAAATAACAGAAATAAAAACATGTTATAAGATCATACAGACCATATGCGAATTACATAAGAATGTTTGATAACGACAAAGTGAACTACATGATAACGATAGAATCAAGTGTTACAAGAATAATGAAGAATTGCAGCGCCCTCACAAAGTGATGTTGACGTGAAAATCGCCAGAGAAGAAAAGAGAAGCCTTGAGTTGATCGGTTACTTCAACGGAGAATCAGGGAAGAAAAATGGAAGGAATTAATGACACGCGAAAATTTGGGAGAGAATGAAAGAGATATTACGTAAGTGTCCGGAGAGGAAAACGGGAGAGATAGAAACAGGGGGAAAAACGGACAGGACGTGGGACGAGGGAGTTCGATGCTGCAGGGGCAAAATTGTACGGGGAAAACCGGCTGATTCAAGAGAGGACTAATACGGTCCTGTTAGGCCGGGTAAATAATTATTAGAGGTCCTATTTAAGCATTCTAATCTTATTCTAGTCCTATATGGGACAATTTCTAAATTGCGAAAAAGTCCTCTTTTTAAAATTCTTTTACCCTAATAACCTGTTCCCGCTATTACCGATTCTCTCTGAACTACTCCGTACAACACAACAAATCAACGTGCCCTAGCTACTCGTGTTCTTTCTTCAGATTTTCTTTTCTCCTTCCATCAGAAAGATTATGCCGCGGTGACATACCTGATTGCAATTGGGGCTGCTCTGATCTTAACAAATTTAACTTCTGGAACTAATCCCTTTCCTCGCACAGATCGAGTATTTAACTTACTTTTGTAGCAAACACACCCCTGCAGGTTTCTTCTTCTACTGTATTTAATGTATACTTACTACTTTTTTGTTTGATGTAATTCAACTCATTTGGAAGGAGACCCCTAAGAAGCTAATTAATACAAACTGCGTATAAGAATCCTCTTGCTATACCAAATTGCTTTCTAAATTATTAATACCTTTGTCCCTTTTTAGTTTGCCAACTTTGACTTTTCCGGTTATAGATGATAAACTTGGGTCCATTATTTTAACCAATATATATATATGTAAAAGTTAATAAATTTATACTTTTATGATAGTATTTTCAACAAAGAAACATTTTCATATAATTTTCTTATTATCAATAGTACCGTGTATAAATATATAATCGGTCAAAGTTGAACAACCTTGACTTGATAATTTATTTGTAAGTCCCTATTTCTAACAATCATACAATCATAGAACAGTGAAAGAAGAAGCAGATAGATTTCTCAATCATAACAATATATCGAGAACTTTGGTATACCGTATAAAATGGCCGCTGCTCTCCCTCTAGAGAGAGAGAGCAGCCTGAAACTTTTCTATTCTATTCTGCCTCTATACTCTATGCCTTAGTTAGGTTTTCTCATAAGTTAGCCTCCTTTTATAGGAGATGATGGCTAACTTATGGCTTACAAGAGAGGCTAATGGGCTAATATTCAATTGTGGCCCATATTACACATTTAACTAACAACTACACAAATACAAATACATCTAACTAGATTGGACACCAGAAAAAGTCCTAACAATCTCCCCCTTGGTGTTCAATCTTGTTTGATCAGCATTGCAGCACGGATGTCTTTGTCTTTGTGTTCAGTTGCTCCTCAATGCAGCTCAGCTTCCTTTGTCTTTGCGCTCGGCTTCTTGAAAAG